ATCGATTCATAGCAATCTTTTGTTGATCTTGTTTTAATTTCAAGACAACGTACGATTGGAAAATAGTTTTTCTTCAAAGGTCGTTGGAACATTTGACAATTTTGTATTTACACAGAGTTTTCCTTGGCCTTCGGCATAAGATGGCTGGATACACACGCCTAAATTCGTTTCGTCGTGGTTTCTCACCCATCTGAGGAACTGGTTTCCAAGTGAGCACAATGGCTTAGATCGTTCTGAAAATTTGTCATACGAAAAACAATTGAATTCATTTAATAGAACTTAATTCAGAGCTCCCTCCGAATATAATACAGTATAATTTCGTTACTGAAAAAAAACAACGTTAAACTCTGCGACTTCATAGTTTTAAAAACCGCTGGATTTAATTAGTTAAGAATCATTCAGTAGTGAGGCCACGCTCTCAAGTTGAGAAAAAATTATTGGGAATTCTCCGAGACCCTCCCCAAAAACTGTTTAACTGGGATTCTCCCATATTAATCAAAGAGATGTAAAGAAAACAAAACGCTCATATATTCTGTTTGTCATACTTGTGTATCTCCGTGAAAAAACGCTTTGTTCCATAAGAATTGCTTTTTGGACTTCCTTTTTTGATCAGAAGTCAGTAGTAAGTATGCTTTTCTTCAATCTAGGGACAAAGCACTTAGGCTCAAAATGCTCGCTACATAGATAGGAATTTTTGTGTAAAGGAGTGTTCTCCCTTCGGAATTTACCAGCCATTTCTGGAAAAGATCTTTCTTTGATAGCGGCAAGGAATTCCATGCGAGGCCGCGACAATCTTCTTTTGAACTCCAGCTCGTACAGCCAAAGGCCATACAGTGTCTAACCGTTGTGTTTCACCTAAACTTTAACAGCGATGTAATATTTTCTACACTCCTGCTAGTAATCTTCAGGGAAGCTTGACTCGATAGCCTCGCTTTCGCCTACGCAACCATAGGATACTGCTGTCCAACTAAACTGCGCGCTCAGAACTGGAATAAGGGCTATTGGGTTGTGTTATGTCGCGTTACTTTCAAAATTTGCAGGTTTTTGAGAAATGATCTTAGGCAAACTGTCGGCCTTTCAGAACAGAGAATTGAAGGACTTTATATCAGAGACAGATCCAGGGAAGGGGCTAAGGGGGTTGTAACCCCCACTGCTCCCGCCCATCACCTTTGAGCAGCATTTCTTTCTTGTTATTTAGTTTGATTTTTCCTAAAAATATAAATGAAAGGATTTTTTTACGCAATTGTTTCACTTCCACTGGACCCCCTTAAGAGTTCGCGCCAGAGGCACAGGCCGTCACTCGCTTGCCACACCACTGGCGTTTTAGATTACTTCAATAGTAAAAATCTGGTGTACGACTACGTGATGAAAACTCTATAATTTTTTCCTCTGTTTCATTCATATTCGACACCTAACCTAAAATGTAAGTATCTGATAGGCTGTTCTTCTTCCTCTTTATGAATTTTTTATTTTGGAGATTGCTGTCATGGCAATGAAAGATAACCTCATAAGTTGCAATTTAGAACGAATTTTTTT